CTGTGAGGTTTTATTATGTGTTATTGTTCTTACATGAGTCTTTCTCTCTCTCTCCCCCTCCTCCTCTTCCTCCTCCTCCTCCTCCCTCCCATCAGCACCATTGTTGGTTGCCTTTAGCAACTGGCCTGTTGGAAAATCACCGTCTCCTTGGCGCTGTGGTTGCCATGACAACGTGCTGCGACAGCAGCCCCCGTCAGCATCAGACCAATAATTGTAGATGGACAACATCATTTCCTTTTATAGAGCAGACATGTTGCAGAGAGAGAGAGAGAGAGAGAGAGAGAGAGAGGACCGCCATCACAGTGTGAAGGTCAACGGACATCAAAAATAAAAGTAGAGAAAGGTAGAACAGTAAGGAACAGTAGAGAACATTAGGGAACAGTAGAGAAAAGTAGAGAAAAGTAGAACAGTAGGGAACAGTAGAACATTAGACAAAAGTAGAACAGTAGAGAACAGCCTTACTATACTATGTTGTTTTCATGACTAAGAAACAGAACAGTAAGAAACAGTAGAACAGTAGGAAACAGTAGGAAACAGTAGAACAGGTGGAAACAGTAGAACCGTAGAACAGTAGAACAGTAGAACAGTAGGAAACAGTAAGAAACAGTAGAAAAGTAAGAAACAGTAGAACAGTAGGAAACAGTAGAACAGTAGGAAACAGTAGGAAACAGTAAAACAGTAGAACAGTAGGAAACAGTAGAACCGTAGAACAGTAGGGAACAGTAGAACCGTAGAACCGTAGGAAACAGTAGGAAACAGTAGGAAACAGTAGAACCGTAGAACAGTAGGAAACAGTAGGAAACAGTAGGAAACAGTAGGAAACAGTAGAACAGGTGGAAACAGTAGAACCGTAGAACAGTAGGAAACAGTAGGAAACAGTAGGAAACAGTAGGAAACAGTAGAACAGTAGGAAACAGTAGGAAACAGTAGAACCGTAGAACCGTAGAACAGTGAAGGGGTGGTTTCTGCTTTGGGCCCCAGAATCAGCTTCATCCGGCACTGCTCCCTCCTCTTCATCAGTCAGACAGACAGGTGGACAGACTCACGGACCAAACAGCCATGGTGTCTGCTGCCTGCTGGACCTCCTCCTCCTCTTCCTCCCTTCCCCCTCCCCCCTCCTCCTCCTCCCTCTCTGAATCACGGAAAAACACCAAAATGAAGCGTCTGTTCCTGCTCTGCTCTCCGGTGAGTCCGCCGACAAAACACCGACATTTCACCCACAAACACACGCTCCTCTGCCGGGGCTCACTGACAACGTGAGGCGGCGGGTTCCAACTCGGATCCGGTCTGATCCGCTGCGGACCGGGACCCGCGGTCCGCCTTTAATCCGGTTTTATTGACCAGGTTTTTCTGGTCCTTCCTCCTGCATCAGTCTCCCACCGCGGAGGACCAGATGCAGGAGCAGACATGTCGCAGGCTGGATCCGTGATGCTGCTCCGCCTCCGGTCCTGGTCTGTGGGAGCTTGTTCATCTGTTTATTTGTTTGTTTGTTTGTTTGATTGATTAGTGATCGATCGATTATAGCCCCTGTTTTAAAGATGAAGAAGCTGTGATGAAGATCAGAGTGTAGGATGGAGCTGAGCCTGTGAAACATATGTTCATATTAATTCATAAAATGATCATATTTATCATATTTAAACTGCTGAGTATCAGCTGCAGGTGTATTGTGTTGTTGTGCAGCAGGAACAAACAGTCACAGTGTGTTTACTCCGTACAGTGTTGTGATGCTGAGGAAACCGGATCGTTTTATTTTAAGCTGAATTTTAAGCTTTAAATGTTTCATAATTAAAAAACATAATAATTGACTTTAAACAGTTGAATTGTGTCTCAGTGTTTTTCCATGAAGAGTTCAACTCTTCACTGAGTCCAGGTCTGATTTAAAGGAGCCACAGTTCTTTTATAAAGGTGTGAACAGGTTTGTGTTTCAGTCCTTTACATCAGAGACCTTTAATGTGGTTTAATACAAACTATATATGTTGAGATATATGATATCATTTACGTAGCACGGTGGTGTAATGTAACAGTGATTCAATACTGTACTTAAGCACACATTTAACACTTGACTACAGAGCTGAAACAGCTGATCAATAACTCAGTTAATTTAAAAAAAAATGGTCAACTATAATAATTTAGTAATTAGTTAATCAAAGTTCTTATATTCACCAGTGTCAGATTTTGTGTTTTATGTTCGGGTCACTGTGACATCTTTAAACGTCATTAAAAGAATCTGTGACAATATTTTCTGACATTTAATAAAACAAAAAATTCATTAATTAATCAAGAAAATAGTTATCAATTAATATTTGCATCATATACTGATATTAACTTCTGTTTCTCTACAGTTCAGAGGGGATGTTTATTATTATCTGACACATGTAAAGATTTAACTGCGAACTGCGTTAGAAAGTAATTAAGTACTTTAACTCAAATACAGTTCATACGTAAAATATTATTTCTGCTTTATTCAGATTGATGCTGAATTATACTCTGACTCCAGTGTAGTTTATTACATATAATCAGATTATACACTTAGTGTTATTGAACAAACCAATAACTGTGTATAAAGTAGTTTAAATCCACAAAAAACACCTGCATCGGTAAAAACTACAATATAATAAGGTAATAAGATAATATAATAGTATAAAAGATACTGTTGCTCATAATAAGTAGTTTTACTGTCGTATTTATACTTTTAATTAAATAAACAATATGAGTTCTTCTTCAACCCTTCGATTATTATTAATGTAGTTAATGTGGAATTATGGAGGATAAACAGAGGGGACAAAATATTAGAAATGAGTTAATTAAACACGTCTCTGACACAAACTGGACACTATGATCTTCATAAAGGTAGAGTCTCTGTCAGCACAGGTGTATTGGATTGTATTAGCACATACAGGTGTACCTAATAAAGTGGCCACTGTGTGGATTAACCCCATCAGTCCCAGTGTTTAAATCAGGCCTAAATGTGAAGCGATGTGTATCTGACGTCAACAAAACATTAAAGACTGTTTATAAAAATGACTTTAAATTACAGTAAGAACAGATCTGGGTTTTATCAGTTTCCTTCTTACTGATTTTCACTGCCCTGTAAAATGTGACAATTTGATTGCCTTGAAAAAACTAAGCAAATACTGTACAACTATTAGATTTAAGATATGTTGACTATATATTTTTATTTACTTCATTTTATGAAGTTGTTCCAACTTAAAGATGGCAACTAAAGTTAACTTGCTCTTTTCAAGTGTGAGGTTGTGATTGGTTATAATGTTGATTTTATTCATTAGCTGGATTATGGCTTCAACTAATGGTTACTGTCATTAATGATCATGTGCAGTTTCCTGTGTGACTTTAAATTCTACATTTACTGTATGTCCAAAAATAAGTTGTTTAAACCTGTTTAAATATAACTGTAAATAAAACTATATTATTGAATACTTTTGGGAGTAGTCCTGATCCTGGTCTTTTCTGAACCTGGTTTTAGTTCATTATCAAGAAGTCAGACTTTACCTGATGATACTGAACCAGATTTTCAGAGGGATAAACATTGTTAAATATAAGTTTTCAATTCGAGAAGCTTTATTGGCATGAACAAAAACATGTTGTTGCCAAAGCAGTTTACAGAATATTAAAATACATTCATTGTTATATATGTTTCATACTGATCAGTCCATTGTTGTATTTTCTTATAATACTGCATATAATAACATAATAATGCATCTGTTTTCTCTCACTGTTCTTCTGTTAGATCATAAGCAGCTGTTCCACAGTGATATCAGGATTTTCACATGATTTACAAAGATAAAACCATGATGCTTGTGTTTTTAAACAGTTTCTGAGTGAGTGAGGATTTAAGCCAAATCATAAAACCAACCCTCAGTATTAGTTGCTGTTTGCTAACATGTGTTTTTATTGTTTTATTTTGACTTATCTGACCATAAAGCAGAGTTTAATTCACATAATCAGTTTTTAATTACCAATATGGTCAGTAAATGTCGGACTAGTCTCCTCCTATCCAGTGTAGGTCTGTGTTGGGGCCTGGTTTCACTGGTTTCAGTGGTTTACCATCCAACCATCAGTCAGGATGGAGGAGGTTGCTAAGAGGGAAATCCAGCAGAGTAAACACAGAGGCAGCGATAAACACTGAGCTTCTCCCTCATGAGCTTTTCCACAGCGTTAATGGGCGACCTCAGAGGAGGGCGGGGTCTCTGTGGACACTGAACTGGATCCCTGTGACGGACTAATGAAATCAACCTGCAGCACAGGCTGGGAATTAACTGCTGCTGATGTGTTCAATATGTTATATGTGTTTATATTTGTATAAAAAGAAAGTGAGGAGTTTGTAGATTTACATTTTAAAACTCTGATGTTTCCAGGAAACTGATGAAAGTGTAAAATGGTCGACAGGAAACCTTCAGTTTCCAGAGAGTTCACGTTTCTCCAGATGTGATTTCTGAAGTGGAACTACGTCTTAATTAGACGTTTCCCTTTGTTATTTAAAGTCCTGATGAGCCAGCTGAGGCATGTCGCTGTTTCACTCAGTGATGTTGACTTTCTTAGTTAGAGACCGCACTCCAATTCTTTTAAATATTGTCATTAGAGTCAACAACAAGCATCTTTACCAGGGTCTTTAAGGCATTAGAGAACATTACTTTAATACCAACCAACCAATGTAACAATACACCAACCAACCAACCAACCAACCAAGTGCCCAGCTAACTAACTTTCCTTCCTATGTAACTACAAACCAACCAACCTTACTTGTTGGGATTCTTTCTTCAGCATCTGGGTGCAGCTTCCTGACATCTTGTTGTACAATGAGGTTGCCAGGTTTGGTATGACTGTTCACCAACTGTACTTGACTAGTCCTACTGTAGGGGGAAACACTTCTTTGTTCTGGGCATCTGGATAAACAGGTTAACACTTGGTTCGGGCCCCACAGAGTCCAGTGTCTGAACTAATGATGAACCTGTCTCTCTGTCTCCACAGCTCCTCTCCGGTGCAGCTGTATAGCTATGGTTTATGCCCAGTCATCAAAAACAGTTGGAGTCAACCCCTCCCTTTACTCTCCGTCCTTCACATATCAGATGTCATTTAACTACTCTGAGAGGGAAAACTCGACTGTCCTGGCAACTTTACCCACAACTCCCCTGAGCAGCCTCGAGGGCCCGTCCCCTGGCCAGCCCAACAGGACCTCCACCTCGTATGAGCTGACTTCAGGCGAGGTCGCTGTCCTGGGCTTGGTGTTTGGGGTTCTCTGGCTGGTCTCCATCTTGGGAAATGCCCTCGTCTGCCTGGTCATCCACCGGAGCCGACGGACTCAGTCCACCACCAACTACTTTGTGGTGTCTATGGCCTGTGCCGACCTGCTCATGAGCCTGGGCTGCGCCCCGTTTGTCCTCCTGCAGGTCGCCTCAGGACGATGGCCGCTGAGCACTGCTGCCTGTAAAGCTGTACGCTACCTGCAGCACCTGTGTCCTGGTGTGCAGGTTTACGTCCTGCTTTCCATCTCTGTAGACCGCTTCTACACCATCGTCTACCCGCTCAGCTTCAAGGTGTCCAGGGAGAAAGCGAAGAAGATGATCCTGGCCTCATGGCTGTTTGATGCAGCCTTCGTTTCACCCTGCTTCTTCTTCTATGGATCCACGTCTACAGTCGGCAGTCATTGTGACTTTTTCCTCCCGGACAGCTGGGGCAGTATAGCCTACGCCGCCGTTCACCTGCTATTAGGTTTTCTTGTCCCGGTGGCATTGGTTGTGTCGTTCTACCAGCGGGTGGTCCGTCACATCTGGAGGATCAGCGCAGATGGCCACACGGTGCGTCGGACAATGAACATCGTCCCACGGACTAAAGTCAAGACCATCAAGATGTTCCTCATGCTAAACTCAGTTTTCTTCCTCACCTGGACACCCTTCTACGTCGCCCAGCTGTGGCACCCGAGGGAGTCCGATGGACCCAGCAGGCAGGGGCTGCTCTTCTTCACGGCCATCGCCTGGATCTCCTTCAGCTCCACGGCGTCCAAACCGACCCTGTACTCGGTCTACAATGCAAACTTCAGGAGGGGCATGAGGGAGACCTTCTGCATGTCGTCCATGAAATGCTACCGCAGCAACGCGTACACCATTACAGCGAGCTCTCGGATGGCCAAAAAGAACTACGTCGGGGTGGTTGACATCCCAGTGCAAGCAAAGACGGTCGCTAAGGACTCGGTTTACGATACGTTTGACCGAGAGGCGAAGGAGAAGAAAGTCGCCTGGCTCACAAACTCCAATCCACCAAACACTTTTGTGTAGATTGGACGATTTTGAAACTGTGATCATACAAAAATGATCCAGTGTGAAACTTTATTCAGCAACAGCACGTCAGTATTGGCAGGTGAGCTAGCTGAAGGCTAATGTGCTAGATCTGTATTCAACTAAAAGCTCACAGAAACAGAATGTATTTAGTTTGTATAAAGGGCTTTTTTCTGATGTAACACACCTGGCAGCCATATTGGAGGTTCTCAACAGCTGTGAACAGCCAGCCAATTTTATACTTCAGATTTGAACTATTCTTTATTTCTGTGCTGTGTTTTGATGGATCGTGTTGCCATTGATGCATCAGATTTTGTGTTTTGAAAATATTAGCTTGTTAGCTAGCTAACCATAGTCTGTGGCCCTCTATCAGTGACCTGTTGTGTCGGATTTGCTGCAGTAATGCATGTGGTAGAAGCTAACATTAGTAGCCATTTGTTAACACTGACGTCATCTGCTTTGCGACATTAAGAAAAATGGTAAGTTGGCTAGCTAACAAGGCGCTAAAAGGGCAGTTTGTTCAGGTTATAATTGTGTGGACTTATCTCAAAGTAAAACAACAGGTTACAGAGCTGCAAAGTGGGAGGAGGACCAGGAGTTCACTTCATAAACTCTCCTTGGTTGAATCACTCATACATGAACATTTAAATTTGAAAGTATCTGGTTCTTTAATAAAAAGTCAGAACTACAAGGCTGTGGACATGAATGTGAAAGAGAAACTGTGTCATCTAAAACGTCTAATGTTGGTAAGAATGACCCTGTTAAAAAAGCCAGTATGGTACAGTACAAAAAGGCAAATTACTTGGACATGAACTCTGGTGTCCTGCATAACTTCTGGGCTAAAAGCAAAGTTAAAATGAATAGAATTAACATAAAGCTATAGCATGGTTCAGTTCTCCAGGAGAGTCCTGTGTTTCTACGTTGACCAGAGGAGATGAGGGAAAATACTTATGAAACCAGTGGCTTCTCCCACTTTGTAAATTTAGTTGAATCAAGTTGAAGTCCTGCAAGGTTTGATTTTAAAGATAAAAATGTCCACAAACTTTTCTCCTTTGTGCAAAATTTATTCTCAAACTCTTGGTCACAAAGACTTATTTTCTATTTTTTAAATTTGTCCATCAGCTGGGTTCCAAAGAGACTTAGTGGAACATTTTCTATCTAATCAACAATTAAGAATTTAGTTTTTCTAGGAAACTGATGGAAACTGACGTCTGGTTATGAACTCTTTGTCACATCCTTAATACATCATTTACTAGATTTTTCTTAAAAACTCCAATATAATGAGCAGGTTCTTAATAACTCTAGCAATACTTTCTCCATTTCCCCTATAATTAACTGTTCACGTCTGCTTTTCTTGAAACATAGTAGTTTACATCCAAACACCAGCTGATTTTCACGAAATTACAAGGAAAGTTTCCAGGAAATTAACCTAAAAATACTGGACCCATAAAATTAAACTTTACTCAGCGTAGTGACAGAAAAATCACCTCTAATCAATCAAAAGCTGTTCCAGAAGTGTGGCAGGACTTTTTACAGACGACACCTCACTGTGAGAGTAAACTCTGATGTTTCACTTCACCACAACAGACCTGGTTTCTGTTCTCTTCATACTCACCAGATCAGCAGCTGAAGCTGGACACAGGTAGATGTTAATGTGGAGATCAGTTTGAAGGATTTCTCGGGTGGTGCAGTCAGTAGACGACTCTTGTTTTACATCAGGAGGTGAGACGAGACAATGGGAAAAGACCAAGGGGGAAGTCGTGAAATATTTGTCACACAAGGTTATATTCACTTGTATGCTGATTTACTCTCCCCGAGAAATGAAGAATAAAACCTGTAAAGACTCTGGTGCTGTATATCGCTAACATCTGCACTGAGCTCCATTAACTATCTGTCTGGAGAATGGTCGACCTGCGCAATAATGTTAACATGCTAATGTCACTTTTCACCTGAAAGTGCTGCTAATGCCAGGATCAGATGATGAGATATGAGCCCAGTAATGATGCTACAGATGTGAATGAACCTCAGTGTAAAGCTCAAGGCTGAAATGTCCTAAAACAGCCACCGTACATAAACTGTTTGACTTAGGTAACAACATTTTCCAATTTACATCTTCATCCCACTAACGATGAAGAGCTAACAATAGAAACATTATCAGTTTTCCATCCTTCTATTGGTGTTCTATTCTAGTGAACATACAGCCCAGTGTGGCTGCACTATTAATTAAGTAATTCATCTGCAACTAATTTCATAATTAATTAAATATTTTGGTAATTTTTCTGCCAAAAACACGTTGAAAATCTTGTGTTTTGGTGACATTACCTTGGTCTTCACGGCCAAAGGATTAATCGATTAATCGAGTAAGTAATCAATAGATTAATCGATAATAAAAAATAATAAGTTGCAGCTTTAATCTTGATCCTGGTAAAGTCTGTACTCTTTTTCAGACTTAAAGTTTAAGTGTCCAGAAGCTGCTGCAGCACCAGAGTGTGTTCAGGTGGATGCAGATTCACCTGTCCTGAAACGATCCTCACCTGTCTCAGTTCTGATGCTTTTACCTGCTTGTAAAAATAAAAACAAACAAACACATTGACATTTTGTGATGAAACACGTGTGAAACGTCTTTGAAACTTTCTGTAACCTGTCAAATATACTGTGATTTAAAGGTCCATGCTTTATACTTCAATTCTGTTTAAACACACGACACACGCACGCACGCACGCACACACACACACACACACGACCCACACACACCACACACACCACACACACACACACACACACACACACACACACACACACACGACACACACACACACACACACGACACACACACACACACACACGGTTGTAATGTTTTGAAGTTTGTCTAGACAATGTGTTCCTGTATTTACAAATAAATTATTCTTTTATCATTTTAAATATATTTAGTAAAAGCAGCAAAAACACAACTGGCCTCAATGTGTTTATCCACGTTTGTTATGTTTTCCTTTTTTTAGCAACACTTCAATTCACTGTTGGAAATGCTTTATTACTTTTCTTTTATTACATCCCTGGTCCTCCATACTTTTGGGCAGTTAATGACTACAGCAACATTGCTGTGTATTATTCAGTAATCAGATTGTTAAATGAAGGAGCAGCAGAGTCTCTCCCGTCAGTCACAGTCAAACACACTTTTATTTTGTTGAAGAAACAAAGTTCAGATTCACAGATCATCGCTGCAAAGCTTCAGCCTACAATCGTCTAACAAAGTGCTTCTGCCAAATTTAAGAAAGTGCACAAACTTTAATGAGGATTTTCATCAGCTCACTAATAAAAAAAATTTAAAAAAAAGAAGCTTAAATTTGGTCCGAAATGAATCGAAGGGAAACGCCTGCAGGGATCTGAATACACACGACAAACAGTAACAAACAGTCATTTCTATAAAACAATAAAAAGCTGTGGGCGGGAACCTGCTCGTTGTTTATCTATAATTTAACATCATTTTACCAACAAATCCAGTCTGGACCAAACATTCATCAACAAGTCACTCCACAGCGGCTTCCTCTGAGCCCATAGAAAATACTAATACAAAAATATATCCCTCACTCTTCATCATCACTGTACATTCTCCTCTCATCATCATCATCATCATGCTACAACTTCATTAGTCAGATTTAAAAATGAAATGTCCTCCATCATGTTTATCCTCTTCAGACTTTTAGAGCAAAGTGAAGCTGTTCACATGTGAAACAACAAACCAGCTCAAGATCCATTCAGTTCTTCACCTTCATCACAGCGTCTCAGTCCATCAGTCATGTGACTCATAAACCATCATAAGTATAAACAACAACAACAACAACGATGTCTTCTTAGATTTCTAACTGTTGAGTTTGAACCAGGAACCAGATGTGAAACCTGTTTTGTAGTTTGTTATGAACTTTTCTTGAAGGAAGTTCTGAGGTTAATGAAGATTGAAGTTATGATCAGTGATAACTATACTGTTGCTCACTCTACTGCTTTATGTATGCACTGTATTCTGGGATGGGGTGAGGAAAAAAAGTTACAAAAAGGTCAAAAGTTTTGTGTCAAAATGTTTGAATAACAAGAAATGTATAATCTTTCAATAACATTAACTGACACAATAAAGTGTTAAAGAAAGAAATGATAAAGTGCTAATAAAACTAATAAAACTGCTCTGTTGACCAGGTCAGTGCTGAGAGAGAGATTTTAATCTCAGTGAGACATTTACCTGGTTGAATAAAGGATTTAATAATGAAAGAGCTTTCCAGAACACTCTAATAAACACTTCACATGACAAATTAAAAGTTAAAAACTAAATAAAATCAAACAAGCTGAGGGATGAAGAGATGGAAGAGGTGCGAGTTCCCTGTGTTATAAATAACTGATTTATAGAGAAGAATAATTTACTGTTTTTGTGGGGAAATTTTTCAGTATAAAGGGTTATCTATAATCTATCTTTAATCAAAGAGTTTAATTGTTTTGTATTGAAAAAGGGAAATTTAACCTTTTTACTTGTTCTTGTTGTGGTGCCCAAACGTTTCCTGTTTTCCAGAAAAATTTAGAATCAACTTTTAATCAAGTATCACAACAATCCACACGACAAAACTTTTCACTAAAACATTATCTACGTGGCGCTCAACATTTTACTGACTGTTACATGAAAAATGAAAGTTAAACTTTCCCAAAAAAACAAGTTTTAGACACAATTTATCTCCACTTGTTTGTAAAATGTGCATCTAAAATATCTTTTAATGCTTGTAGATGAAACTACGGAAGCCCAGAGAGGAAAGTGGAGTGGCCTTCTGGGCTTCCATATTCCCTCCACAGTGGATCTGTGGTTGAACCTGACACTTTGTGGTTTTAACTAAAAGTTCATCTTGTTTTAAGAACAAGAATGGAATGTAGTAATTTCTGTTTTCAAATCTAGTTCCTGGTTTAAATCTGATGAACGTAAAGACAGAGGGAGGAATTCTGGGTTTGTAAAAACATGACAGGAACATCGTTTTATATTCTTATTATATAAGTCACGTGACAGAAACGACCTCCAACACCCTGATGAAGGACTCAGTGTTTTCTGAACGCAGTCTGGTGAACTGGACTGGTTTGTGTCTCACTGCTATGAACACATGAAAGTGAAAGTTTTAGGAAAACTGTGAATCTGTGAAACGACTGTCAGATACAGATTAGCCACTGGAATAACTAGGAAATAAGAAGGTTATGAGTTACATGCAGGTTCCTGTTCAGGAACTGTAATCTGTGAGTTTGTAGGTGATTTTCACATCATCAGTCTCTGACCTCCGTCACAGGCGGAGGTTTCCCTCTTCCTCCGTCACACTAACCCTGACCGTTGCTGCTGATGTTGTTCTTGTTCTTGGACGTCTTGGTGCTGCTGCCGCCCTGAGGCATCTTCTGCTCGTCTCCGGTCAGCAGAGCTTTAATCTCTGAGGGGATCTTCCCCTGATCCATGGCCGAGCACCACTGTTTATACTGTCAGGAAGAAAGTAACAAAGATAAGAGATGTGGAACAAACATTTAAACTCTGCAGTCAGAGTCTGAACTATCACAGGCTTGTTAAACATGAACACTAGACCAGTTGTTCCCAAACTGAAGCTGAAGCTGAGTCTGAGCAGGTTTTCAGTCTGAGGTGGAAATGTTTACTTATAACAGTCAGAAGACATATGAAAAAAAACTTCTTCCAGGATGAACTCGGTTCCATCTTATTCCAGGTTGTACCTACAGGTTGATCAGCTGATCAGTTCCTAGTTAGATCAGTGTGTCATCTTACTTTTGAAAGTGATTTCACATTTACACAAGAAGCTGGATTCATGTAAGTAATTCATAAAACTTTCATTGTCACATCAGATCAGCAGATTATTTCTTTATCAGCTGATCACAGTTCAACTTTCTATGCATCAAAGCAATAATCAATAAGTTTTGATGACATGAACTTCATGAGATTCGATGAGAAGGCTGAAAGGATTTGGATTCAAAAAGTGGATTCGACTCTGGATTCAGATTCATGCAGAACATGTTCCAGATAATATAGTTGTAATAAAATGCAGCTCAGCTTCTTCAGTGCATCACTGGAGCTGTGACAGTTTCCCGCCTCCAGAACTGAGCGTGAGTGAAACAGTTTGGGAACCACTGAGCTTCTGTCACAAAGTGAGATGAGCGGATTAACTCTGACTTCAGACTAAACTCAGACTGGACAGCGTCATGACTGAAGCTTCTGTAGTTCAGATCCAAATATGTAAAACTCACTGATTGGACACAAAAACCTTTACAATAAAATGACCAGTGAGAATTTAATAATAAACTGATAACAACTGACATCAGCTGATTTCAGCAGAAACCTCCACCACGTGTCTGTGATGTGTTTCTTACCTTGTTCACAGACTGGAGCTTTGCTGCAGCATTTACACATCACATATCAATGATGGAAATCACTCAGTCATCCTGCTGATCTCAAACTCTGACAGTGGCCACTTTACAGTCACATGATAATGAAAATCAGACAATATTCACTTTTGCAAAGCTGAAAAGAATGAATGTTTTTGCCATGTTTGCTTAAAACAATGACTTAATGATTAATTATCTGATATGAATTATCTCAAATGTTGTTGATTAAATTTGATTAAGTTTCAGCTCTAGTCTGTTCTAAGGGAAACTACATTTTTACCATCATTGTTTATTTTATTTATTAGATCTTACAGTCTGAAGTCATATGTTGATCCAACTTATTTTGTACTATATTTTTAATATCTATAAAATATTACCAGTTGTAAGTACTGTTTTTGTTTTTAGTATTTTTTGTCTTTGTGTGAGTCTGTGTTTAAAATATTACAATTTTTGCTGTTTTGTTATTTTTTCTTTTTCAGTTTCTACAAAAACATCTAAGGAGGAAATTAACTTAATTTGATAGAGTAAAATATTAAAAATTGATTTGACGGTTTCTGTCTCACAGTCTGAGAGAAACTATTTAAAAATCAGCTTCGTGATTAAAATTTTTCTTCACCATCTCCAGCTCCTCACGCAGGGCGCAGATCGCTCTCTCCTTACTGGAAACCAGTTCCTCCAGATACTGGTATCTCAGTTTCTTCCTGGCTCTGCACTCTCTGGCGCTCTGACGGCTTCGCTCCAGTTTGGCCTTCAGGTCTATTTTTGCAGGTTTACGGCCGCGTTTCCCCGGCTTCTTCACTTTACCAGCCACCATCTGACAACAGAGCAGGTACATGTTCAACTGAAACAATGGAACAAGTACAAAATGCAAACAACAACACAGAAACATGCAAAGAAAAGCCAAGATGCAAGTCTTTTGTCATTTTATCTGCTTTTAGATTTACAGAGAAACAAATATCAATGGATTATTTGACCTCCACTGTAAATATAATGAAATAACCCAATTAACCAGTAAGCTTGTTTATATAAAGATTATCCATTAAAATAGCAGATGAGTTATGTACATCTGGGAACTGAGAACAACTGAGTCACAAAACGACCACAGAGAGACAAAGGAGACACAATATGACCACAAAGACATAAAACGACCACAAAGGACACGTCAGAAAACTGGTGGGTGGATTCACGAACTAAAATACTAAATAATTCATTTGTTAAATGAAGTTTGCTGTACAGTAAGAATCGATGAGCTTCTTATCAACAGACGCTTATACTAATGTTGCTGTCCACAGCAAGCAAGAAAACATACCCCAGACCTTTCAAGACTTTGAAAACCTTCTCATGGCTTTTTGAAGACTTGAATTCAAAGCTTTATAAGACTTTTAACGACCTGCAGAGACGCCGCTAACATTAGCCACAGTTAGCTTCATCCAACGTCCATATTCTACCACAGCCAGCTTCACAAACTAGTTAGTGACCGTCGGGACAGTTTTTAACCAGTTAGTAACGTTATAACCAGTATAAACACGGAGCTGACTGCGAGTTAAAGCTGGTTACAGGTAAACTGGTTTTAGTCACCGTCAGCTTCTCACCTTGTTATCATCCATGTTGGTCAGCGCTAACGTGCTGGAAGCTAGCTGACGTTAGCTCCAGTCAGCTAACAGCTCAGTTCACAAAAACACTCAACGACATAAACAAACGAACTTAAAGTGAATCCGCGGTGAAAACAGTCGCTCAGACTTAATTAAAGTAGGTAATTAACCCGACGCTGTTTCGCTTTGTTTACATCGTGTTTCCTCGTTTCCTCATGACGTAACGCGCTTACGTCAGCTATATTTTTTTTCCTTTTTTTTTCCTTCAACAAATCTTTATTGAATACAAGGAAATTGACAATGAACAAAGTGAACCACAGGGAAACAGGGAAGTGTGAGGGTGGTAAAATAAACAAATACAATAAACGATAAATTAATACAAAATAAAACTGACTCGACTTTGAACCATAATTCTTTCTGATTTTAGTTAAAAGTACAACGTTAAAGTCAGTTTGTATCTTAGTATTTAAAAATAATAGAATAGTAAGTTTTACTATTATCCTACAAAAATTTAAGATCTCATTATTTAATAATAAATCTGTTGACTTTGTATCTCATACTCATGTGTTATTACTTCATAATTTTGACCTAAAAGTGCCATTTTCACTTAGTATCTCATAAATGTGACGATGTAAATATAATGTATGTTTTAGTATCTCATATTTTGGCTAGGTTTGTGAAATATTTGACTTAGTATCTCATAATTATTACTTATTTTTTTACTTAAAAAATAAAATTTTGACTCAATATCTGATAAGTTTGAGTTAGAAATGAAAAGTTTTGACTTTGTATTTCATAATTCTGACTTTTACATTGTTGTATGTTCTGTAAAAGATCCAATTCAAGAATATATGTCATCTGGATTTCCCATAATTGAGATATTATTCATAATTCAGCCCTCAGTATAATGTTCCATTCACCTGACAGAATAATAACTTCTGTTTAACACTGACCTCTTCCCTTTATCTCACTGTTCCACTTCTGCCAAATCTTTTCACTTCTCCTTTGATATTATTGTATGAAAGAACATATGCCAGAAAAAGAAGAAACAGATGAAATGACAGGAATGACAAGGTTTGTAAGAATTTATTTTTGTTTTCATTGTTCTTACTCAAAAATAACTTTGACCTAAAAAGTAAAACTTTTGTTTTGGTGTTTCACAATTTTGACTCAAAAAGTTGAATTTCTTACTTAGTATCTCATAATTTTCACTTCTGATTTCATAATTTTGTCTTAGTAAATACATATGTTTTACTTAATCATAATCATTTGTTTTCATGTGATCATTTTTATTTAGTAAGTAAAATTTTTAACTTAGTGCCTTATATTTATAACTTAAATAATAAAAATTATGTCCATTTCTTCTGAATGTTATTCTGAAGTGAAGACGGTGGAGCTGCTCTTTTTAAAACACTGTGGCTATTTTTTTTTTTAAAAAGAAAACTGTCTTAGACAATCGCTCTCTCCTGACACTGGTTGTATTGATAAGAACATTCCTGATGTATTCCAAATGTTCCTAGATACAAGTGTTGATCAATAAGAATCATATCATCTGATTATATACCTGCTTTAAACAGTTATAAATACACAGACATACTTTCTGTGGTTTGATTAGATGAATGCTGGGTTCAGTATCTTGGTTCCTTCCAGCTCTGCAGCAGCTCCGAGCTTTGATCGTTTCTCTCACATTCATCAGTCTGAGTTAACCATGCATGCTAATTGCTCCAGTATGAAAAACTTTTCACTTCTGCCTTCATCACATCCATTGTCCCTGATCTGCTCACTGTCCTGATGCTGCAGTCTCAGGAGGGAAGTTACTGCACGACAAAAACTGCCTGAGACTCAGCTGATTTATGTTAATTCTGCTGCATGTTGCAGATATTATTCCTTTTTGTTCAATATAAACAATTATTATGATCCAGTTATTATCAGGTATTTGTTTTATGTTCAGTCCGGGAGGTTTAGTCTTTGGTCTACTATCACACGAGTGCTCAAGTTGACCTTTTTGATGACTTGGTAGCTGTTCAGTGTGGTGAATGTTTTAGTGCTTATCAGCTATGAAGATGTATTAGATTAAAACACATGTGACATGACGTGCATGACAAATGCAGTGCAGCCTTAACCATTAGGTCACTGGACACCCCATTGTTTGATTTTAACTTAGAAAGTCATAACTTTGTTGTGACCTTGTGACTTAAAATGTCATAATACTGTTTTATTTTGTCATTATTCTGAATTCAAAAAATAAAATATGACCTTATATGTGAATCAACATTTTGGCTTACTGTCTTATTTTGACTTTGACTTATTTTCACAAACACATTATACAAGACAGTGGCAGTGAAATGTTTCCTCACTGAGAAAAAAGCAGATAATCAATTAATATGTAACATGTATTACTTAGAAATAGAGGAAGTTATAGAAAAACTGGGATAATGATATAAAACAACAATAATTAAATAACAAACATTTAAGCAACGCCAACACATACATATATAACTTGATATATATTTTATATCTAATTACATTTTATTGTTACAAAGTTACTTATATAAGCATATAAGTACTTATATAAGCATATAAGTAAATTAATTTCTGTCATTCCTAACATTTGTCATATTTTCTTGGCAGTGATAGTCTTCCATACTGTACATGAACCTGTCACTTGGACACCCATAATTAAATAACAAATATTTAAGCAACACAAACACACATTCATATATAACTTTTATATATATTTTCTATTTAATTACATTTAATTTTTAAAAATGTATTTTATATTTAATTATATTTTTTGTTAAGTTACTTACTTTGTTTAGTTACTTTGTTTAGTTACTTATATTCTAGTTACTTATATAAGAATATACAATATAAGTAACTTTATTTCTGTCATTCCTAACATTTATAATGTATATTTTTCTTGGCAGTGATAGTCTTCCATATCGTACACGAACCCGTCACTTCGACACGTCTTAAAGCAGCCGTCATTTTGTGTCGGCTCAGTGTGGACGTTACTGCGCCTTTAAGCAGCCTGTTGAGTTCATTTGACTGGAGCTCCGATGACGACATCCTTTTATTTTTATCGCAGTGACCTCATCTCTTATGGCAGCGGGAGGACCGAAGCTCCTCTTCTCTCTTCGGTACAACTTTACCGCCTCTACTTTCTCTTTTATAAACCCAAATCCTCACCGGTACATCACGTCAGGCCCCATCTGAACACCAGCCGGGACGGTGGAGGTGGTGTTTGGACTTTGACGTCGAGTTTTCAAATGGTGAGTTTACCGAAATTTCCAGTTACAGTGTAAATCGGCGGCGGCGGCAGCATCTGGTAAAGTTGCGTTAACGGGGCCTAAAGTTAAAGTTTAAGTCCATGTGTCTGTTGAAGACGACGTTAACACCGCGTGTGACCGTTAACCGACATTAACGACAAGTGGGGAAAACGTCGCTGTGTCGGTTTTAACAGGAGTCTGTGGCCTGGCGGTCAGTCGGTCGGTAACAGCGAAACAGACCAACAAAATGTCAGAGAACAGCTAGCTAACGTTAGAAGAAACGGTCACGTACCGTCTGAAAATGTCGACGAAAATCAAGCAAAGTTCACCTAAACTCAACGTATACGCTTCTTTACTCAGTAGACACTGTTTACACAACTTTTTATCAGCTGACATTAACGTTAAACCTTTAGTGTCATTTAATCTCAATCAATGCCAAACTTCCTTAGAATAAAAGCGGATTTTAGAAGAGGAGGAGCATCACCCATTAATCTAACATAATTTTTTAATACCACCTTAAACAAACCCCTTAACTTTTGATCACTGTTGATAGTAAGAAGAAACAATGATGTAACATCTGAAAAAGTTCATTAAAATCATGTAAAAGTTAATCCAAACTCATTTTATCCACTTACTTACTCATTAAATACAGTTAACACTAACTAACTTTTTATCAGCAGACATTAACGTTAAACCTCACATTTAAATAAATAATCCACCTTTATTCAATGCCAAACTTTATTGAAATAAAAGGACACTTTTTGATACCACCTTAAACAACTAGTTAATTTTTGATTAGTGTTTATAACCACTAATAACTAATATCACAATTGTTAAAACCAAATGTCCAAGTTTGTGTGAGTTTCTCTTGAAAATGAACCCAGTTCATTTGGTTCATAATAAAGTTTACACATTGAAAACTGTTGACACAACTTCTTATCAACTGACATTAAAGTTATTGAATGCCAAACCTCCTTAAAAATAAAGAATATTAAACAGAGGAAGTGGAAACATACATGTTTACTTGTGGAGTGTTTGCATATGTTTCTTTACTAACTGACATTAATGTTAAACCTTAAATTAACCTTTAAATCAAAGCATTTCTGAATAGACAAGATGACAGTACCACCTTAAACACCTCAGTTAGGCACATGACATTATAAATAACTTAAATTACTACGGTTAAAGTTAATGGTAATAATTATCAATTTATCTGCAATAATATAAAACAGAAAAGCAACAAATCCTCACGTTGGAAAAAACCTGAACATGGTTGATATTGTTAGTTAATTAACGACTTGTTAAAGCAAAACATGAAATCAGTTAAATGTCTTTTTAATTACATGATGGATTTAGTTTTTGAAGATGATTGATTAAGCCTCTTAAAAAAAAACTGAAAACTGACTAATAAAGCCTGAAATTATTTTTCAATAAATCCATAACCATTTTTTTAATAAATAGTTAATCTTTTAAAATTCATTTTAAAAGCAAAGATGAGTTTCACTGGCTTGTTTTCTCTGTTTTCTATCATAGTAAACTGGACTGATGTTCGGTCATAACAATACATTTAAAGACATTTAAATGGAGCATTTTTCAATAGATATAAAATAATAAAATATAGAAAAATAAAATAAACAATAATCATTCATTGTGGATCTAATTCTGATGTTAAAAAAAAACTTTCAGGAGCTTCCCATGAAAAATGTGTTAATTTCAGGTTAAGTGAAGAAGAGATGGAGTTCCTGTAATTAACACATTTCATAAACACAAAGTGAATAACATCAGTTTTCACATGGAAGAATCAACCAGGACTCATTTAATGAACACATGGATAAATTTAACGTCTCTTTTCACGTCACTAACCCATTAATAATCTCATGAACGTGAACAAAAGATATTAAAACAATCACTTAAAACAATCACTAGAGCCTCATGAACCAACTCATGTATAAAGAAATCCCTTTAAATGACTGATAA